GCTAACAAAAATCACAAATTTTAAAATATTTCTATTAGGAAGTCAGACAATTTTTAGACTGTAGACAAGTACATTATTGACTTCAAGTCACTGAGAGGGTTTTGATGAGATGCATTATCATGGATTACAATGGGAAAACAGCATTAAAAAAGTCACATTTCCATTCTTTTTTTTTTAGGGTTGTTTGCAGTACATGCAATTTACAATCATCTTGGGGAGTGGGTACATGTACATAATACAGTTTGTTTCTTTTTTTTCTAATTCCCTTCCCCTTCCCTCCCTCCTCTAATTCCCCTATCCCAACTTTCATTCTTGTTGACATTATTAATTTTAACCCGTGTTATGGCATATAATGTTTATAATCATTGAGGTGATTAGGGTCTTGTACATGGTATATCTTTATTCTACTTAGTTCCCCTTCCCCTCCTCCTCACCCCCAGCTCTTGTTCCCTTGGACCACTGCCCTATTGCAAAAGATCCACCCTCTTGTTCCCTTTTATCCACCCTTTATTATTCTCTTTGTGCTTTGCCTCACTCAAGTGAGATACCAAATGGTATTTAAGCTTGTGTGCCTAGTTTATTTCACTCAACATTGTATTTTCCAAACACATCCATTTTTCTACAAATGTCTCAAATTTGTCATTTTTCATAACCAAGTAGTATTCCATTATATATAGATATGACATTTTCTTTATCCAGTTGTTTGTTGATAAGTATACAAGCTGCTTCCAGGATTTAGCTATTACAAATTATGTCGCTATAAACATTCACATGCAAGTATTGCCGTAGTATCATGTCTTAAGCCTTTGGGGAAGATATCTATAAGAGGGATAGCTGGCTCATACGGAATTTCGAATTTCAGTTCTTTGAGAAATCTTTCACCAACAGTGAAGGAGGGTTCTTTTTTCACCACAGCCGTGCCAGCGTTTGTCATTGACCCTAGGCAAACCACAGGGTCTTAGGGAAATCCTTTCCATCCTTGCTGTAGGGTCATCTATAAAGTTTGTCTTGTTCACCCAAGTCTAGGTAAAATCATAACTTATGGAGTATCCAAAAATCCTATATTTAAGCAATCTTTTCTTGAAATAACATAAATGGAAAATAAACACTGAAAATACTATAAATCAAAACATCAAGATTACATTGTCCAACTAGTGAAAAAGACCCCCAGAATTTTTAAATAATCAAACCTCCTGTATTCACAAAGCAAAACAGTGTAGGAATGGTCAACCTCAGGGAGATAATTGTGAGCTGATGCAAATTTTCTAGGGGCAATTTGATCACATATATCATCATAATATGATGCAGAAACTGTTTGTTTTAAGAAAACACTCAGAAATTATCGCTTCTCGGCCTTTTGGCTAAGATCAAGTGTAGAAAATACTCAGAAATATTCACAGAAATATTGAATGGAAAGTTCTTTGTACTCATATTTATAATAGTGACAATCTGAAAGGAATGCAAGTATTGCTTTTTAAATTTTGAGACTATATTAAATAAATTATAGTAAATTCTCAATAAGATTAAAAATTTCTGGTATTTAATTCTTGGTACTTGATGAATCAGAAAATATACATTACATACTGCAGGTGTGAAAAGCAAGGTACAAGACATACATAATCCTAGCAGTCTGGCAGGCTGAGGTAGAAGGACTGCAAGTCTGAGCCCAGCCTGGAGACTTCTCTACTTGACAAGATCTTGTCTCGAAATAAATTAAAAAGGGGAAGTAGTTCAGTGCAAAGGCCCTGGGTTCAATCCCCAGGATCACACATACAAAAATAAATAAATAGATAAAAGCAAGATTCAAAACAATGTTGAGCGTGATCGCTATTTTGTAGGAAAAATGGAAAATATTTTACAACTAAAATATTGATATTGATTTTTTCTAGATAAAAGCAATAGTTAATTTTTATTTCCTTATGGGTTTTTTTCCAAGTTTCCTGCAATGAAACTATGTATCATTTTATCCCAAGAATAAAAGTTACATAAAAAGTATATATTCTCTCCAAAAGAGATTTTTACTAAGGCATCTTTTAAATAATTAGCTTTCAGTAGTATCTACCATCTTCAGAGGAATTATAATAAAGTAAATGAAAATATACCTTGGTAAAAAGCAGAAGCCTTTGTACATACAAGTTTCCAAAAATTCCAAAGTAGTTTAGGTATGCTTTGTTAATGGCTTTCTAAAGATTATCAATTATATGATAATTTGAAATAGGAAGAAAAGGTGAAAAGGGGTAGGGGAAGTGGGAGGGGAAGGGGAAAGGAAGAAGGGAAAGGAAAAATTATGAGAAAAGGAAAAAATTGAAACAAAGTCTTTGTAAATAGGGAAGGGTGGAGGGGGTGAAGGGAGGGCTGGGAACGGGGAAAAAATAAGAACCAAGATGCATTATGTACAGGTACAATTCCCAATGAGAAGTGTAATTGTGTTGTATACCTAAACTGTACCAATAAAAGATTTTAAGGAAAAAAAAGATTATCAATTATAGAATTACAGAGACATAAATCTTAAAACTTTCTAATCACTCCTTTTTTGTGTACAGTAACAGTGTTTCTCTTACATAAACTCTTATCTATCAGAGCTTCATTGACTTTATCTCTGTTCAAATAGCAACTAAACCACAACATCCCTACCCAGTGTGCATGCTGGAGAACATCTCCAACTTTTAAAATCCAACATTTGAAGGAAAAAACTTTTCAGTTAGTTATTAAACCCAAGGCTCAAACTGTAAATATAGTGTGAAAGTTATTTTTCCACATGCGCGATGACAAAAAAAAATGCTGCCCTGGGAAGTTAGTTACTTGCCTTTTCTCCAACCTCCTTCCCATACCCTGGGGCTCTCTCCAGCCTTCCGGGGCTAATTTGTCCTTATGCTACAGGAGGTAGATCGGATCCGTTGCCTGGAGCCAAGAGAGGGCTCAGTGGACAGAGAGAACCTCATACCACAGGAGGGGCCCCGTTTGCTGGGACACAAAAAAGGACAGTATGTTTATTCCAGCATAAATAGACGAAGCAGAAACAAGTAAATCTTCAAATTGTGAGCACGTTTTCTTCCTGGATTATTCAATCTGTTTATTTCTAACACAAGTTAAGCTCTGTACTAAATATACCTATATGCAATTGATGTTGTTAACAAACTCACAACAAACATCATTTCAGCTCATTTTTCAGACCCAGCAGAAGATGGAGCAGTGGCAGTCTGTGACCCACTATGGGCTGCAGTTGATGCAGGTCTACTTGCCCAGGCTGTTCACACCATTGTCCCCTGGCCCAAGCCTAATTCTGCCCCATCTCCCAGGGGTGGGCTCTAGCTCCTCACCCCATAGAAACTTCCATGGCCTTGCGCTGGGGGTGAAATCAGAGATCCTCTCCTGGGGCCTGTCCTTGGATGATGTAATATGAGCTTCTTGGGCTCAAAGTCCCGGTTCTGTTCATCATGGGCTATGTGGCAGGCAAGTCTTCAACCCTGCTGTGCTGGGACTCTTCACCTGCAGAGGGGATCAAGGACATGGAACCCAGTGCAGTGAGCTGTGAGGAAGGACTGAGTTCATGTGTGTACAGCATGCAAAACAGCTCCCAGCACATAGTAAGACTCAGTAGTATGGTCTGGGATCATCATCCTTGGTGGTATTAAGAAAACCTTCCCTACCTATTGACTGGGGAAATAGATCAATGACTACAGCAAGGTTGAGGAATTACAAAGAAAAAACAATTAAGAAAGGAAATCCCACATTCTATAATTGTCCTGAAATGATCAGAACTCAGACTGTAAGCAGCGTTGACACTGGGATTGTCCCCAGCAAGCCCATCGTGCCACTCCACTTACTGGTTCACAACTCTTTTACTGTAAGGATGAAGTATTTGTGGGTCTGAAGAAAGATAAATATAACTTCCAAGGACGATTATGCAAAGACTCCATGCTACCTCCATCGGCCTAATTTTTATTCCTGTCACCCCTTGAGCCCAAACTACATAATCACCCAGTAATTGAACTGAAATGTCTAAATGGCTGAAGCTCCTAAAGGACACAGCTATTTACCAATGGAAAAAGTCAGAACAATTTAGCGAACCTCCCTGGCACTCTGCCGCATTAGCGTGGAAACCTGTACAACGTGACCCACCTGGACCTGAGGCTCCTCCTCAGTCATTAATGGTAACAGGATGATCCTCACTGTTATGGGTGATGTCCAGAAAATAATTAAAATATCACAATTGTTTAGCTACTCCAGAATAGAGCTATGTAAGTGCTAACCTTTCTCAGGATACAAAGTGATGAAAATTTAAGCCAAAGGTAAAAAAGTAGAATGTCCCACTGGCATTAAGTGCTACCTCAGGGTCAGGTTACCACCCCGACAGGACAAGGGTTCAGGAGAGCTCTCGGTGCTCCCTAGCAATCTGCAAAAGTAAGATTCACCTCAAACACTGGTTGAAAGAGCAGCCAGTTTTTGTTTTTTAACTGTACATTTTAAAAAAAAAGGGCCGGGGATTTAGCTCAGTGGTTTCGCCGCCTGCTGCGCAAGTGCAAGGACCTGAGTTCAATCCCCGGTACCAAAAAAAAAAAAAAACCCACTCAGAAATGAGGTTTTTTTCTCTCTCTGCAGCAACACAGAACAAATTCCAAGATCCCTGGGGTCTGTGCTGCTGGAGCAAGACCTCCCCTCTACACTCATCATCAAGGCCCCAGATGTACACAAAGGTTAATTACAAATATTTCTAAACAATGCAAAAGGGTTCTTTGGAGGAAGGATTGGAGCCCATTTAGGTACCAAGCAGCCATCACACAATGACTACACTCGGCAATCCTTGGAACCCACTGGAGGTAAAAAGATTAATTATCACTTTTAAAAATGCAATACTTATCATCTGAATGAAGCATGTCAGCACACAAATCATAAAATGATGATTCTGAATAGAATTTTTGTTGGTTGATTGCAAAAGCAATGCCTCTTGTTGCTGAAATAACATCTCAAAGGCAAAATAATGACGACATGACAATCCATGTAAATCAAGAACTGCGTGTGGGTTTATTTTACATTTGAGAAAACAGTGGATTTAATTGTGTGAACCAAAATGTACTGTACAATATTAATGACAGAACATCAAAATGTATAATTAATAGTGCATTGCTTGCTCTGTTTTTATTTATTTAGTTTGTCTGATAGTTCCTCTGAGTACATGCATCTGGGAAGATGCAGGTGCCAGTAAAATTTCTCTATTTAAATCAAGCTGCAGGAACTAAATTTTATTCAAAAATTGTGGTTTTACATTATATACACAGAAATTTAATATAAAATGACAATATAAAAAGTTAAAAGAGAAAGCATACAGCCAGAAGGTACAAAGAAAGTTGAAGAGGTTAAAATGATACAATATGTAACATACAGGAGTTTTTAAGCCGATTCTGGCAATTTACAAGGTAAGGACTCCAACATTTGCCCCTTTTTGTTTTTTGTTTTTCATTTACCAATGCAGCACACTATAGAAAGATCAGCTTATACCAAAGCTTACATTTGTAAATAACTATAAACTGCAGTATTTTACAGGAAAAAAAGAAATAGCATTTTTACACATTTTTAAATAATAACTTGCATACTTTTTTGCCAAAAGTGGCATTTTTCAGCATCCAGAGGGTTTGGGCATAGTGGTGACTGGGGTACTTCTTGTTGTTGTTGCTGTTGTTGTTGTTTGTTTTGTTTTTAAATTTTAAACATGTAAAGTTGTGGCTTGCTAACCCCGTGAGTCCTAGACAGCTTTCTGTCTTCCAACAGCTACATGCATGTTTTCCTCACAAACCAGTCCTGCATATAAAAGCTCATTTTAATTATTAAATAAGTTTTGTGTCTGACACAGCTTTTGATCTGAATGAAATGCCTTTAAGCTTTTTTTCTTTCGTTTTTTTTTTTCTTTTTGAGTGAAAGGCACAGAGATGTGATTATAGTCCTCAAAGGGTTAAAGTTGACACTACCAGGTTCTATGACCTTTATTAGCATGGCAACTTCATAATTTTAGGATATCTTTTTATCATTGCTATTTGTGTCTTTCTTTACTGCTAAATAATGTCTCTGAGTAGTGTGCCCCACTATTTCCTACAAAAGATAGCTTAACATCAAGAACAGATGTTGAAAATAAAGGTCAGACTTTGACTCACGGAAAAAAGAAAAATAACATGCACAGGTCAGACAAAGAGCATATAAATATAACTACAAAATATGTGTAAGAAAAAACAAGGTCCAGATAGGCAGTCCAGCAACAAAGGAAAGACTGATTTCAGCGGCTCAGGCCAGGCCTAGTGCAGTACAACAACGACGTTAGTGCAATGTCCGGCTATCACTTGCATACCTGGACACTATTGTTTCTCCAACTCAGTCACATAGATCAGGTGGTCCTCCGGCGACTTGCCGTGCGTCTTACTAAGGTGCAGTTTGACTGCGTGCTTGCTTGCAAAAGTCCGGTTGCAGAGCTTGCACTGGAATGTGGAGCCCAAGTCTTCCTCGGCAGCCCCCAGTGGGCCCAAAGTCTTGTTCACAAGGACTTTGGAGACGTTCTGCTGCTCTTGAATCTGACTGAGTGGCAGCTTGGAGAGGTCCTTCAGGCTGAAGCCCAAGTGCGTCTCCAGATGGGTGATGTATGTGGAAGCAGTTCTGAATTGAGAGGCACAATCGTTGCAAAAGAAAACAGGATGCCCTGTGTCGAGGTTCTTGAGGAATTTTGTTCCCCCTGTCCTTCGAAGCTGGTATTTCACATTGGCCAGCCAGTGGCTGATGGTGGTCATGGAGAGGCCTGTGAACTTGGAGATATGCACACGCTCCTGAGGACCCAGGTCCGACATGATGTACTTGCCCTCTGCTGTCTCCCGCAAACTTGAGGCAAACTGGGCCTGCAGGATGAGCAGGTGCTGCGGGTTCCAGTTGGACTGGCGCCCTTTCCTCTTGTGGACGGGTGACAGCTCATCCAGTGCCTCCTCAAAGCTGCTTCCGTCTGCATCGGACTTCTCAGACACCGTGGAGGGAGTGGAGGACTTGGGGGTCAGGCGCCCCGTGAGGTTCTTCACCATGTCAGAGATATCCATGAGGGCACTCTCCCGCAGAGGCGACGACACAGAGTCAGCCACACCAGAGACCAGGGGTTTGTTCTTGGACTTGGTCAGATCGATGGGCTGGTCACTGTTTTCGTAGTAGTAGCGGTCAATGGCATCAGCTTGCTTCACTGGCGTGGTGGGGTAAACGGGCTTGTCCAGCATGCTGTTGCTGATTTTGTACAGCATTGCCAATGGGTCCATAGAGGGGCTCACAGGCTTCGACACCTTACCCAGGTGGGTATTCATGATGGACTGCAAAGCGCTCAGCGGGCTGATGAAGGAGGGTTCTGGCGAGTGGTCCGTGATGATCCCCAAGTTGTTACAGCCATTGGTGACCCTGGCTTTGAGAGCCTCTGTGCCGTTTGGGGTGTGAGCATCCACTGGGCTCTCCTTTTTGGCCTTCCCCGTCTCAGCTTCCGGCCCCTTCTTCTGCTGCTTGCCACCTATTTCCTCTGACTTAGGAAAATCTTTATTCTCCTTTGCCACAGGGGATGCAGCCTTGGTGGGAGAGCTCTTCTCTTTCTCTGCAGACCTCTCCTCCTTCTTGACAATGACCTTGCCTGTGACCTTCTCAACCAGCTCCTCCATGGCAGACACGTTGCTCTTGTGCGGTGGGGGTGTAAGGCTCCCCGGGGAGTGTAAGAGGGCATTGTGCTCTGTGGTGGACAGCGACTTCATGCTGCTGGCATAGGACGGCTGCACCTGTACACTCTGCACGGCCGCCTGCAGCGGCTTCACGGTGCCTGGCAGCTGGTAGGCTGCGTGGATGCTGGGGTAGCCCCCCCAAGAGGGCGCACCATTCTGCGCTTTGCTGATGGCTGTGGACACGGTGTTCTCCAGGGACTTCAGAATGTCCATGCCCCCCTTGGGGCTGTCATCCAGGTCCTCCTCACGCAAGTACTGGTAGAGAGCAGTGGGCTCAAACTTCTCAGCGGTGTCGTCGCTCTCCTCCTTGATCTTCTTGTCCACATCACCCACCACCACCACTGGTGCCTTCTCCTTCTCGGGCTCTTTCTTTTCTTCAGAGGCCATGGAGCCAGCCGGAGAGTCTGGCTGTTTCTTGATGCTGGATGCTGGCAACCGGGTGTGGGTGGTCGGGGGGAGGGGTATGGACTGGATCTTTTCTTCCACCACAGGGTCCAGAACCAGTTGCTTTCCTTTCTTGGAAGCTGAGGTTGTCACCTTCAAGAAGTGGCCAGTGACCATCATGTGGGCTGTGAGCTGCTGCAGAGTATCATGGGAGCTGCCGCACTCCATGCACTTGAGGATCTGCGCTTTGCGGGCCTCAAACTGCCACGTGTAACTAGCACCATTCTGGTAGCCATAGCGGTTATTCGGTGTGACGTACGGGTTTGCAGTTTTCTGGTCCTTGGCTGACTCACTTAGGGCAACCTCTGTGGCCATGCCTGCTGGCTCTGGAGAGCAAGGGGATGCCAGATCCTGAAGTGCTCGCTTTTTGGTAGAAGGGACCAGTTTAGTGATGGCTGGCACTGGCTCCTTCAGAGGCACTTTCTGGTAATGCTTTGTTTTGATCATGTGGACGCTGAGGTCTTGCAAGGACTCAAAGGAGTGTCCACAGTACATGCACTTCAGCACCTTCTGTGCATCTTCTTTCCCCTCCATCTCCATCAGGGAGCGCTTCCTGGGCTTAGACCACCGCTTGGTCTTCTCAGAGTCCTTGTCCCTGTTGTCATCACGATAATGGCCCGTCTCATTCATGTGCACTGTCAGTTCCACCAGCGTGTCATAGGCAGCACTACAGTCTTTGCACCGAAATTTACTAGCGCCGGTGAACACAGAGCCATACAGTTTGTTGTTCTGCCGATAGAGCTGCACGGTGCTAAACAGGCTGGGCTCAGGGAGCAGCCCATAGGATGACGTCTGCTGCAGCGTCTTGGCCAAGGCAGCCTGGTGCCAGTCATACCCAGAGCTGCTGCTGTTACTGGTGGTGCTGCTGTGGTTGGTGCTGGTGCTGCAGCTGGTGCTGGCTGTGCTTGCCGTGGTACTGGTGGTACCGGCAGTAGTGGTGGAGGGGGTGGGGGTGGGGGTGGAGCACTCCTTCTGGCCAGCATCATTGTTGCTGGTGGTCGAACTGGACTTCTTCAAATCCAGAGCTAAGCTAGACCAGCAGGACTCTGAGAACAAGTTCGCATACACGGCTTTGATTTGTGCCAAGCTGTCCTGAGGGTAGGAGATGCTGTCTGGACACTGTGGCTCCTCTTTCTCATCTCTGGAGGAAGAGCTTTTGAAATGGGCTAGCTGATCACTGTTCTCACTGAAGGGTGAGCCATAGCCAGCATCCTGGTTGGTTGCAGTGCTGACAGGGGAGTTCTGGTAGCTCTGTGCCTCTTTGATCTCCGTCTCTTCATCGCATACAAACTCACTCTCCTGAACGTCCAAAGACAGCCCACCATCCTCCACATGCTCCTCATCTATTTCTGCTGCCTTCAATTCTTCCTCAGGAACATAAGCTAAGAGAGAAAAATGAAGCACAGTTAGAAAGAGTAAATCATCTTCAAGGACACGGCCTCCCTAGCAGTTAGGTGATCTTTAAAAAGATGGTTTTCAGTAAGGCTCCCAGGCTACAAGGCCACCCCAACTCTGCCTACTTTGCTGCACAAAGCCACTTCCCCTCCTGAATGAATCCTTTACTAAAAGGGAGCCTGGGCTGTGGAGCAACATCACCCCAGTTTGGCAGAGAGGAGCTGGGCAGGGAGGGCAAGGACCCAACCACATCCCCCAGGGACCCCTCTTACAGGCTGTTCCTCCCCTGACAGGAGAGTTTTCTCATGACTTCCATGTAGCAAATATTTGGAATCACCCATCATGGAAGGCCTAGCTGTCAGCTTTTAGGGCAAGATATTATCTGATGGGAAATATATGATTTCCATAAATAAAAATACTCCTTGATGAGAAGTAATAAAATTACTCTGATTTTCACTGAAACAAAGGCAGCACGGTATCACCAGTCTCCTGCCTGACAGAGCAGAGTGCCACCAGCCTGAGGTTGCCAGACAGGTGACCAAGGGCCACTACTGTCCACCATTATCCAATGCAGCAACACACACCATAGAAAAAAGGAGGAAACAAGCCAGCGTCTAGTGATGGATAAATGGATGAGAAAAGCATGGTTTACCCACACCATGGAATGTCATCAGTCCTTGAAGAAAAGGAAACACTGACACCTGCTATAACCTGGTTCAACCTTGAGAACACTGTGCCAAAAAAAATAAGCCAAATACTATGATTTACCTAATGTGAGGTTCTGATAGTAGTCAAGTTCAGAGAGAGGCAATGGTGGATGACAGGGTCTTTGGGAGGAGGGAATAGAGAATTATGTTTCACGGCTACAGTTTCAGTTTTGCAAGATGGACAAAGTTCTGGAGATGGGGATGGCTACACAGCAATGTCAATGTTCTCGACACCACTGAACTGTAATACTTGAAAAAGATTAAAATGGTAACTTTTATGCTATGAATATTTTATCAAAATAATTTTTTAATTACAAAAGGCAATGGTGTATAGTCCATTGGCCCACCATAGGCCTACAAATGCCCAGCTTAGCAACTTCCTGTGCTGAAAGCAGCCTTTCTCAGGGCACTTATAATCTATCAACAGTTGTCCTATGATGAGAGACCTGGAGGGTGTACAAAATGCTAGATAAAACCTTGATTTTTATTGCAGGTCATTTTAGACCCTTTACAATGTGATAGATCTTGCTAATTCCCAAAGGGAAGTTTTCACATACACCACTTCCTAAACTTATTTGACCAATGTTTTTCTTCCTCTTCTTCCTGTTGTTCTCCTCCTCCATCATCATCATCATTATCATCATCGTCTTAAAGAGAACAACTAGCTGAACTAATAATGTTCTACTGGGAAATTTAGGGTTAAGGTATTTTCCAGAAAGCTCCTATTAAAATGCACTGATATGACTTGAGAGGGGTGTCTCATTAAATATAATCATTCATTATCACATTATCGAGCCAGATCCTAAGGGAACATAGCAAAGAACGTAGCATTTTCAGGTAAAGTGACAAGAGGGACAGAAAACACCTTGTTGCCCCAAGGGAGGATACCAGGGGCAGGCAGGAGTACTAGGAGGTGTCTGCATCTGCAAATGAAGGGCTCATGGCTCCAGGGAAGCAAGCACTTATGGCACATGCACAATCACTGATGTGCACATGAGCACACACATGCACATAGACACATGCACGTGTATATACAGAGAGACAACTGAATTGTCATGTGGAGAGCCTGCCAGCTCAGGCTCTTCAGAATACCTGCACGTACCAGGCTCCTTTGTAGCAGGACCTAACCAACCCCACCTCTGCAGGAAACCACAAAGCAGCCAAGCACACACGTGCATGTGTTCACAGTGGAACACACAGCAGCAGCCCACTAACAAATTACAGGGAATTACAGTTCTGTTAATACTGCACCACTAGCATGAGAAATAATGAATTGCACAACACCTCAGCCTTTAACTACAGGCACCAACACCTGGGCTATGCTCTAGATGATTCTGCAGCCTCACAAAATTCAAAGATGACTGCCAAATTCACTCACTTTTGCATTCTGCTCTTAATTAGATGTATAGGGTGATCCTATTCTGAAGGTGCATCTGCTTAGACCCTCAGCCCAGGGGCCCCATGTTGAGAACTATGGCTCAGACTCATCCCCTTGAAGGAGCCTGCTCTAGGCCATGCTGGTTGGGCTCCAGATTTTACTGCAGACTTTACTGAAGTCAAGGAAAGCTGCAGGACACCCTGAAGAGGACTGAGCTTGTGTGAAGATCTATGGTGCCCGGGCCGACCACGTGGGCAGTCTCTGAGCTTGTGTCATCCCGAGAGGCAGACTTCAGCACTAGTCTCAGGCAGGTACCTATGTCAGGACCAACTATGGGAAACTGCCTGATAGGTTTAGTCCAGCTATCTCTGGGAACAGAGGTTCCATCCCTAGCAAATAATTTCTAGAAAACATTCCATGTGGACTAGTTCAGCTGTGTCAAGGAAGGGCTATCACTGTAGTTCATTACTGTGTGCCTCCTCACACATACATGCCCCACCAGTCACGAGAGCCTACGGGCTGCTTCATTAGGCTGAACGCATGCCATGGTCTCCAAGGTAGGCAAGCCATGAAGGTGTGTCGAACAACATGGGAGATCCCTTAGCCACAGGGAACGCATCCCAAGATCCCCCAGTGGGTACCTATAACTGCAGATAGTACTCGATCCTGTATCTGCTATGCTTTTTTTCCTATACATACATACTCTGGATAGAGTTTAATGTATAAATTAGGCATAGCAAAAGATTAACAAGAATAAGTAATATACAACACAATAACACACTTTACTACACTGAGTAAAATAATGGAACACAAAGCACTGTGATACCAACACAGCTGATCTGACACCTGAGCTAACTTCTGAGTGACCAGCAGGAGGGCTACATATACAGCATGGACACATGGGACAAATGGTCAATTTACATCCCAGGGTGAACAGAGCAGGACCGTGGCAGTAAGGTTTCATTGCACTGGGCCTGGGCCTCTCCAGTTCCTCAAAGGTGCCTGTGAGGACCAGCCCTTGTGTTATCCCTGCTGTTTCCAAAGCCACCTGTGTTGCAGGAAGGACTCCAACTGTTACAAAGCAAGTATGTGGTGGCATGGTGACCCACCTCGCTCCCGAGTCAGCTGGGACAGACAGAACAACTCCCTGCTGCCCTTCCCAGCACGCCCACTTTAGAACGCTCCTGTTCGGTTGTTGCAGATTCACTCCAAACCAGGTCCATGGAGGCTGCACTGTCCTGAGGCCACCCCTCCTCGGGCCCTGTCTGCTCCTGCTCATTTGGGGCTTTGCAAGGCCTCTTCCATCTCTGGCAAGACCCGTGGACTGACTGCCTCCCTCCTGCTTGCCCCCAGTATTCCTCCAAGCTGAACCAGCCATTCTCTCAGCTTCCCTGAGCCCAAATCCTTGTTGCAGTCCCTGGCCTAGGTGGGGCACACAAACCCTCACGTTGGCACCCTCCGCCACGTCCAGCCCTCTGTCCCCTGGAGCCTTCTGTCTATCTGGCTATGGGCAGCCTGTCTTTCTGGGGTCTGGGTACCACCCCTCCTCTGCCTGGTGAGAGCTACCTATCCCTCAAGGGGAGACTCAGATGTCATCTCCCGCATGACAGCTCGGAATCCCCACACGGAGCTCATTCACGTCTCCCTGCAGGATTAGGAGTCTCCCTGTCCTCGCCGTCACACTGGGGGCTCTCCCACTTTGTGTGGCCTCATATCACTTCTGGGCTGAGCATTTTCCTTTTTTTTAATAAATGTTTTTATTGAGTAAAATTGACAAAATCATATATATTTAAGGTGTATCGCACTGTGTTTTAAGATACAAATAGACTGTGAAATAATTATTACTTACAATCAAGCTAATTGACAAGGCCATCACCTCACAAACTTAGAACAATCCTTAATATCCTCCACCGACAAATATTTCCTAATCTGCAAGTCAAAAACACTGAGCATTTTCACCCCATTGCCTCACTGCACCCTCCAAGAACCGCCCTTTAAGGTAAGGATTACCAAAATGCTTCTCTGGCAGAAGAAAAAACTGAGGCTCAGGGAAGTTGACCGATTTTTCCACGTTACACAGAAAATAAATGATGGAAACATGAACCTGACTTCCAGTTCAAGTATTCTCCCCTCTGCCTCAATGGTACCAAGTTATTTTCCTTTGTCTCCGCAGCATCTAAACACCGGGCAGGACGTGGAGGAATGAAGGAAAGAACGGTCCAAAGTAATTCTCTAGTAAGTGTTTAGAAGGCCTGCTATATGCCAGATGTGGTATTATAAATTAGACATTCTCAAATAAAAAAGTTAAAGAAGATAAATTTTAATATTTGACACTCTCCGAGCCAATAATTTTATTTTTTAAAGGGTTGTCTAAAAGGATACTATGAAATACAGAAAAAAGTTTTATAAATAAAGATGTCTCTTACAGCATTGTGCCACATAAAACTGGCCACAACCTACATCTTCAACACTAAGGGATAAAGGAGTTAGAGTTCATTCCTAAGAGGTGATATCCTTCATACATTAAGAAGTACACTTGATCCCTGGTACCAAAAAGAAAAAAACGAAGTACACTTGCCTGACACAGGGAAAGTCATTAGATGAAAAGGGCAGGTGATAAAATCATGGACAATGCAACAGAAGATCCTTTTCAGAGAATGTTAACAGTTGTCCCTTCTAGATAATGAATACATGGGTTACTGTTGGGTGAAGTGGCTCTTGATAAATAGCTGTATTTTTTAAATCTTACCTGATAAAAATATGAATCTTCAAAATCTTTCAATGTTTTCATTTCGATAAATACGGATTATCTATCACACTAGAACTGAAATAAATTAGCAGGTGCAAACCTTCCTCAAGCACCCACCAGCAGAGCCACTGGCAGGATCCTGAGACACGGAGA